AAGGAATATCAGGGGGTAGTTGATGTTTTATTACTCGAGTTCAAACTCGAGTTTTGAGTCTGAGTTTGAATTACCGAACGTGATATTAGGCTCAAAATTCAATCTGAATTAGGCTAACTCGAGTTTTGTGTGCCAAACGAACGCACCCTGAGACTCGAGAGATAACAAACATCAGTAAACAAATATGTTTTAAATACAAATTACAAAAGAAAAAAAAAGAAGGGAAGAAAGTGATTCTTACTCATCATCATCTTCTTCGTCCTGTTCTTGGAGTGTCCTCTGGGAAGGTAAAAAACAAAAATATACACACACAAACACATATATATATCTATACCATTTTTGTTTTGAAATCTCGGAATCCGACTTTCTCTCATGTTATCTTCCGTAAGTTCCTCAAATTTCCACCCAAAATAGGAAAACAAATTGAAAAAAAGCCAAAGAAATATCTATCAGAAATGTCTTGGCTCTTCAAATCGCTTCAATCCGGCGATCCACAACAGTCCACGTCAGCTTCGCCGGAGAGCAGCCCCGTTGGCGTGAAGGAGGACTTGTCGGCAATCGGGCAGACCATCGGCCGCCAACTCCGTGGCGTGGCGGCGTTTCTCGCTCCTCCTCCTTTTCCGACGGCCGCTGCCGATGATTCGCCGGGATTGGAGGCGGAATCGGAGGCTCTGATCGGAATTCGGAACGATCTGGCGGAGATCGGCGGGAGCTTCAAGAGCGGCCTCACACTTCTCTCCAGTAATAGCAACAGAGCGGTCAGTGAGATCTCCAGGTTCGCTTCCAACTTCTTGCAGTTTCAGGACAAATCGCCAATCGAAGAAGAAGGAGAAGAAGGAGAAGAAGAAGAGGATGAAGATGAAGATGGTGTTCCAGGGATTACCCATGAGGTTCTTCAATTCGTGACCGAGATTTCAAAGCGACCAGAATGTTGGACCGATTTTCCTTTACGACTCGATTATGGTAATCATCTGCTATAATTCCCATTAAAAAAAAATCATTTGGTTATCTTAATTTCTTTGGAAGTGACAGTTAATTTAGTCGCCTATAATTTCTTCGGAAGTGAAGATTACAATAATCGTTTAAACAGTTTTTATTTAGGTCTTTGCTCTAACTGAGTTAATAGTGAAAAAGAAGTAAACTAGAGATGCATTTACTTATGAGTGAGAAGGATTCATAGTCTGAGAATAAGTTGTTTATTTGAGTTCTAGGAATCCGGAGTTGCTGCGAATCTCTTTTATGTGTTTACTTAAAACTCACTCAATCCGACTCCCGTTTTAAGATAAAAGTGAATAAGTAAATATGTGATTGACTCCAATTTTTCATTTATGGTAAGTAAACATGCATAAGTTATGGAGCTAAGAAAAGAACAAAATTTTGTCGGGAAATCTTGAGAAATGTAGTCCTCCAACAAAAGAGAGTGGGAAAAAAACCTTGCTTGGTGATGAGGCAACTGGGTATGGGGAATAGTGTTGCTATTAATAATTCCACTACATTTTCACAGATCTTTTCTGCGTTTGCTCTGTGTCTTGCAATCAGTTTGTTCCTTCATCACAGTCACTGAAGTATAATTAGGTTTATTAGGAATTTATGATTATGCGAAAGTTCTTCCCTTTATCTTTGTATGCGTTTTATCTTTGTATGCGTTTTGTGTTCTTGCTTTTTGCACACTGCCTTTTTTTCATGGCGTTTACATATGCATGTACCATCGAAGAGTTAAAATTTATAATACATGCAAGTTATGCATATGACACTACTAGGGTTGATCTTAAAAATTGAATTTGTTGCCTCCTATAATCGGGGACTGTTAAGGAGCTTCCTCGGCTAATCAACAAAATGCAGGAGCCTTTGAAGCAGTGGTAATTTAATAAACACCTGGGTTTGGCTATCATGTTTGCATGCAAATCTAAGTACCCTTTGTTGTCTTAAACTTTCTGTTACACCTGCAGTATTGCATTAGTTTTCCCTCTTTTTTACTTGGGAAAATGATCTGCAACATAAAAAAAAACAGTTTCATCACACATCGTGATACTAAATATAACTTGTTAAGGGTAAAAAAGCTGGGATAAAGTAGTCCTTTCAATTTTTTAGAACTTACAGAATTTGACACATGTGCATACATGATATTTATGATAAAATTTGTCACGACGCGTACCATTGCTCTTCACCTTATATAAAGTTGGACTAGAGTGTAAGATATTTGAATATTGGTAACATTATGATCCCCTTTTGCTTTCAAGAACGGCAAAGATAAAGACTTGCTAGTTTATTAACCCCACCTCCA